CGACACGTGGTCCGTGGCCATTTTTCCGCCCCGACCCGTGGTCCGCGGCCATTTTTCCGCCCCGACACGCCGTCCGCGGCCATTTTCCACCCCCGACACGTGGTCCGTGGCCATTTTTACGCCCCCGACACGCGGTCGTAGGGAGGGGGACTCTCCCTCCAAGCTATAGCCGCCTCCCTGTCCTCCATGCCAGAACGGATTAACGGTAACCTTATGGGGGAATTTCCTTCGGGTTGCGACCAATTCGGGGTGTGACCAGAGTCACGGACATACGTTAAAGAGCTGCTTTCTTGAATGTTCCAAAATTCATATTAAATCATTTTTATTAGGTCAGCTTATAAAAATAGTATAAAAGGTGGCATGTTTTTATCATGGAAGATGGATAAATCAGAAGGGAGAGGAGAGAATATGAAAGGGAGACTAGCAGCGCTTCTTCATATGGCTTACTAAAATGTATTGTTTCCTGTTTATCATCAAATAGCTCAGACAACATCTGGCCTCTTCTTTGTATTATTTGAAACAGAAAATTCCACTGACAGACAGAACAACATGAATAGTTTTCAGTGTATTTGTATGAGATCATAATTTTGCAGTTCTAAAAATCTCCAAAATGTTTTAATATGCCAATGACATTTGTTAAGGAAGAGGGCCAGTCAGTTTTTTTTGGGGGGGGGGGAGTTTCTTCCATTTGCTAATAAAGGAATATAATCTATCCAGTGATATTTAATTCTGAAAGTACTGTGTTAAGAGTTATACATGCAAACTTCCTACAGACTGATTTTTTTTTAATCTGCTCAATTGTGTCTGATTCTCGGAGGCTACCTGGACAAGTCCCTGCAGTTTTCTTGGCAAGGTTTTTCAGAAGTGGTTTGCCATTGCCTCCTTCCTTGGGCTGAGAGAAAGTAACTGGCCCAAGGTCACCCAGCTGGCTTTGTGCCTAAGCAGGACTAGAACTCATGGCCTCCTGGTTTCTAGCCTGATGCCTTAACCACTACACCAAACTGGCTCTCACAGACTGATTGTGTGTGTGTGTGTGCATGTGTATTTCCAAAATACTATTGCTGAATGTCAATAGTATAAAGTGCATATCATATAAAGTGCATATAGAGCAATCAGTCACTCTGACAGCTTCGCTTTAACCAACTCCTTCAATATTGCTTTTAAGGGTAACAATCAATAAGCAAAACAGGTTGCAATCAAGGTTTCAGCAGTAGGTGCACCTGACTGAACTTGGTTTAGAAGCTAAGCAGGGCTGGCCCTGGTTAATACTTGGATGTAGGACCATCTGGAAATTCCAGGATTGTAGCTTAGACAGAGAAGTTACAAAACAATCATGGAGGAAGGCAGAGGCAAACTATGTGCATCTTACTGCCAACTGAAACTCTGTGTATGAAGACAAGCTTGACTTGAAAGAGACTTTACTGTTTTACAATCACGGGTGGGGGACACTCTCAGAGGAAGATTCAACAGTTACTTGGACAATTCACTAGGATATTTCATCAGGTAGTTAGACTGTTTCTTCTACATTTCATTTTAATTAAAAAATGAGAGAAACATTAATTGAAAAAAAGATGAATGCTCAGTTGCATAACTTGAAACATCTTTTACCCATCTATTGTACAGAAACCAAACATTAACTTTATACAGACCTAACCTATTTCCTCATCGAATCGGCATTCACAGAGATAGGAATACACCACAGAAAACAATATTGAAGAATGTCTCAGAAGAAAAATAAAAATGTAGTTGAGCATGTCTTCTTTCTCAGATCACTCTTATGGATGTTTCTAAATAGATCCATTTTAGGTGACAAAGTTGAAAGTTACATACCTAAAGGCTGCTTGATTCTTACCTTAGCATTAGTTATAAATAACTTTGTTTTGTTGTCAAGGAGGAATGGAATATATTTTGAATATATATAATGAAAATAGTTCCCTTGGAAACATAGAACATAGCTCAATAGTCGTATAACTGCTTTGATTGCAAAAGGTTCTGAAGTCCAGCATTTTCAGGAAGGTTAAGAAGAGACCAGTTTCTGAAATCTTGGAAGGCACTGCTGGTGCTCTTAAGCTATTTTGATTAATGTTTTCACTTGGTAGATAGTTTCCCATATTCCTAAAACACATGAGACCAATTTCTGCATTCATGTCCCATTACAATTTAAAAGCTACAAGCATATATATAGAGGCCGTGCTGCTACAAGGCATTTTATCTGTTTAAAGTGCACATCTGAAGGACAAGAAGCAATGTATGAAACAGTTTGTGGATGCAGAGCAAGCAAGAATGATTTGCACAGTTGGAAAAGTGTTTTGAATCATTGGATATAAAGCAGATGAAGTTACACTTCCTTCTCATGCCTTAATTCCTTTGCCTTACTATTTCTTACTTCTTTTTTGTGTATTGCATCATGTTGCTTACCACAAAAGGAAATAGAATGAAGGGTATGTATGTAAAGAAATCAATCAGAATTTAAATATGTGATCAAGTCAAAGATTCAGCAGAATTTCTAAATGAGTGAAACAGCTGTTTTTTGGTGGTTTGCACCTGAAGAGAAACACATGCATTTTGGCTGTTTAGGTCCATACATGGATGAAATGGGGTTATGTTTTGTGTATGGAATGAGGCATGATTGCTCCACCAGAAATGGTACAGAGGGAAACTGAGGAAAGCAGCCATATCCACTGGTGGTAGGGTGGAAAGAAGGGAAGGTGCTGGAAAGAGGGGATGAACCACATCAACCTTCACAATCCTTGTCAGTCACTTGGCTTAATCCTGCATATCATTTATGCTGTGTATGAATAAAGCTCCAGAACATTCATATGGTCTACAGTGCTGTGTAATGAGATTATATAATGCTGAATCAATGGGCTAGAATGTCCACTGGTTCAGCATTATACTATTTCAAACACCTGTATTAAGCTATATAATCACAGGGGGGGAAATGGGCTAGAACCCTCACCCCAAATCTGATACTTAAAAATCCAGAAAGCGTTCAATTGTGGCATCTTGCTTTCAGTCTAGAGAAATACAGTTCAATACTCCAGTCTACTCTCTTAATATTTTACCACATCTTTTTACTACATATGTAGATGAGGCCTGAGTCTAAAATTTATGATGCTCTTTACTCAAGCCCCCTCAAATTCCTTACAGTTAGTCATCTGTTTGTGAATATTTTTGAATTCATTCTTGACATTTTGGGTTTTGCTACCTATGTCATGTATTTCTGCTTCACTATGCTGTCCTGTGGTAACATTTGACTGGATGTAATTGGTTACAGGGTCCAGCTGGATTGAAAGGTGAAAAAGGTGACCGGGTAAGTGCAACCTTAAAATAAATTCATATACTTTTTTTTAAACTTATCAAATACAGTCATTTATCTTGGAGCACGCTGAGATATAAAACATCAATTATTTTACTTATTAAGGGAGACGTTGCTTCCCAGAATCTGATGCGAGCTGTGGCGAGACAAGTCTGTGAACAAATGATTAACAGTAAGTGGTACATCTATAACATAGAACAAACAGTGAAAACCATGTCGTCAGGCCCTAATACGCTGTGGACGTTAAGCATGTGGGATGAATCTTTATGCAGTCAAATCAAATCAAGTATGCAGGATGTTTGTGAGTTTTGTGATCTACAACAGCCCTCCCTCTAAAGGACTGTTTTCTTAAAGGGAAATCAGAGGACAGGTTCTTCTACAAGCTTATATTAGTTCCCAGTCCGTACAGGAAATAGAAGTATGCAGAACAAAGTACTTGCAGTTGCTCGTCAGCAGCACCTTCATTGCTTCAATAGTCTAAGCCAGCAGTCAAGCTGAGAAGGGTTGTATTGCTAGGAGTAATTCTTTTAACATTTAGATTTATACTTATAAGCTAATATTTTGTTTTGCTTTATTTTGTGCTTTTGAGCCAGTGTTAACTCATGGCGACTGCCTGGTCATGTCCCTGCAGTTTTCTTGGAAAGACTTTGGGAGTGGTTTGCCCTTGCCTCCTTCTTAAGGCTGAGAGAAGTGACTGGCCCAAGGTTACCCAGCTGGCTTCATGCCTAAGGCAGGACCAGAACTCAAGAGTCTGTTAGTTAAAAAACAACTGCCAACTAACCTTTCCCCCCTAGTTTCTCACAGTACCCTGTCAAATCCTCACGGAACCCTAGGGTTTTGTGGAATATAGTTGAAAAACCCTGTGCTGTATATGAAAACTTACATGTGCTATTTGTAATGTCCTGTTTAGTGATGCATTTCCTCTTTTTTCTCACTCTTCAAGTAACCATTCTAACTGTTTCCTGCTCACTGGTCAAAATCCAGGAGACACTGATGTCCTGACAGCAGATCTGGATTACTTCATGCAGTCACACATACATAGCGATTCATTGGCCTAGATTTAATTTCTATATTTCCACTGGTTTTCTCAAGAGGAGTAGTAACATTTTTATTGGAGAAATCAATACATAATTACAGATATCTGGAGTGTCAACACAGAGTAATCTATTCCTGATTGAGTTGGGGAAGGGAAAGTATATAAGAATATGCATAGGTCCTCCATTCACTGAATAATTCTTTCTTTTACAAATGTACTGGTTTCACCTTTGGCATCAGCTGATGGGTGCAGTGTTTGTTTTTTAATCACTCTAAAAGGATATGACATTAGTCACTCTCTTAGTTAATCTATTTCTTTTTTTTTTCCCCAAAGGCCAAATGACCCGATTTAACCAGATGCTGAATCAGATTCCAAATGACTACCATTCAAATCGAAACCAGCCTGGACCTCCAGGGCCACCAGGACCCCCTGGACCTCCTGGGTCATCAGGAGAGCCTGGAACTGGAGGCAGGCCTGGATTTCCAGGCACACCTGGCATGCAAGGATCCCCTGGAGAGAGAGGTGGGTTGTCCTGTAGGAGAAGAAAACGGGTCATGGCAAAGTTCCCCTGCAGAGGAATGCTTAACTGATATTTCAGGGTTGAGAACATTAAATGGGACTATCAGCAGAACAAAGCTTAAACAACTGAAATGCTTAAACAGTTTAAGTTGCCCTAAGTGGCATTGACCAGGTAGCAGAACTCAACAGCATGTGCTCTACATTAGATGTTTCCTGAGCAATTGAGCCATTACTTCTTTGACACAGCTTGAATACATTTTCTTTTTGGTGTGCTTTAGGGCTGCCTGGAGAGAAAGGTGAAAGAGGAATTGGATTACAAGGACCACGAGGTTTGCCAGGGCCACCAGGTGGGTTATAATTCTTTGTGAAGTACACTATTAAATTTTTGAAACTTGTATTCAGTCTGATGTTTTTCATCCTCCTTAACTCCACACATCAACTGAAAATACTAAGTAAACCTTTGAGAAATTCCAGAGTACCAATTAGCTTTGGTTTGTAATATTTTGTCTCTCATTTCTTTAGCATATACAAAGTTACAGGGCTCTCTCATAGATTATGACTCTCTCATAGCTAGTTTTGCTATCAATACAGTTTGATCATTTACTGAGGCCTTGGCAGGTTCAGTTAGACTCTGCCTTCAGTTTACTGCTTGCACATTCATGACAAACTCCATAAGAAGCTCACAACAAATTTTACCTTCATTTTCTGAAAACTTTACACTTCTTTTAACCATGAACATAAATTGTTCCAAAGAAAACATTATCTCATCTATTCTAAAGCTATAGAGTAGCAAAGTTAAAGTAATCTTATGCTTTAATTGAAATGTAATGTAGAAGTGCTTCCCTGCGTCTTACAGAAAGTGGATGTAATCCACCAGGCTCAAATCGTGCCAAAGCGATTTTCTATGAGTAAAGACCTTAAAATCAGGGAAATAACTAATGATGAGTTACGTTTTGGGTTCCCTGTGGTTGCTTCATCAACACCATATGTAGAAACGAAATGGAAATATTTCTTAACCACATGTTTGAGTGTAATCTAGTTTTTAATTTTGCCAACCACTTTACTAAATTGCCTCGTACTGAATTTATTGATCTAATACCTTCCTTTTCATTCTAAAAATAGGTCCACAAGGAGAATCCAGAATTGGCCCACCAGGTTCTACAGGCTCCCGAGGTCCACCTGGGCCACCTGGCCGACCTGGTAATGGTGGTATCAGAGGTCCTCCTGGCCCCCCTGGATACTGTGATTCATCCCTGTGTGCTAGCATTGCTTACAACGGTCAAGGATATCCAGGTAGGTTATTGAGCACTTAAATGTCATTGATTACTTTAACGAAAGCTTGTTCAGCATGAATACTTTTATACAATGAAATGTTCTAGTAAAAGTAGAATTAGTAGAATTCAGAACTGAACTATAACTCAACTGCTCAATCATCTAAGCTTTCCAACTCAATCAGATTTAGGAATATTTATTGTGATTCCTATAACTAGTGCCTTTAGTGTTTATAGAATTTCTCCAGTTTGAAGTAGCTTTACAGAATTGTTCCAGGTTAAAGTGTCTATTTTACCTTAAGCAAAAAGTAGTTTATATATTTCAAGAGAAATTTATTTCTAATATTTGCAATGATAGGGTAATGCACATTGCTCTTAGGATATAATTGACTATTTTTCCTTCTTCCTGTTTTCCTTCTCCATCAAACTACTACTGTACTTCTGAACAAGGTTGACCATTCGTCTAAAGTAAAAAGAACACAGTTTGCCATTTCTGCATCCGTCTTTCTGATTCGTGATGGGATTATCTATACAAAATTAGTACCTGAAATCTAATTTTCTATTTCAAATGTCATTTTGTGATACAGTGCAGACAACTAGGCAAGGGAGGGCATGGGAAGTCACAATTTGCACTGTACCAAATTCAATGGAATCTATGATTATATTGGTATATGATACAAATTTCTTCTGAGAAGAGTCAATCTGAGACAATGAATGGTCAAAGGAATAAAAATGCTGGATATTTGTGGCCACTGGATACCAAATTACTAAAAACTGGGAAGAGTCATAACCAGTGACTATGCCATATATTTAAAATATCTTCAAGAAAAGATTCCAGGCCCTTAATATTGATCACGAATTTGTTGTGTGCACTGTAGCACCTTATACTCCATAAACATGATATTGCTGTTCGTTATGTTGTTTGCATGTATACGTGAATATATATCTATATATCTATATATATATATATATGTACACACACATTCATAGTATTGATGGGTAGAGCAAATTCAGCAGAATAAGCCATTATGCAAAATTTGCACAATATCAACAATTGAATGAAAAAATAAATGGAAAATAATATTGCAGTGCTACCCTTTCAGAAAACATTTATATGGCATATATATATATATATATATATATATGTATATGTATATGTATAGATATACATACAATTTAACTCTCATGGATGTAGATGGATGTAGATGGATGAAAAACAGTTTTGCACAGCTGTTCAACCCTGAAAACTAACATCATCTTTGACCTGTTTCAGGTTCCGGCTAACACATTTTCTATGCCACCAGTGCTGCTTACAGTTTGAATACAATGAAAATCCTGTTTCTGAGATGTTTGTGCACGTGCTTATTTGGACGTGAATCTGTATGGATATTTCGCTATAGATAACAGTTACATGAATAGTGTTGGCCTCATAAGATGGGAAGATTCTCTTTTTTAAAGAACGTACTTACTAACAAGCATTTTTGATTGCAGTAAAGGGCAATGTGTTGCATTTGATAAAGCAAAGGAAGTAAAGTCAACCTCCCTGTTATTACTTTCCTCTCCAATTATATCAAAACCAAGTTACTACAATGGCAGTGGAGGCTTATAAACATATTAATGGACATAACACCATAATACATTTACTTTGGTGAAACAGAAAATGACACTGTAAATAATGAACTAATTGTGGCTTGTAAATGATTTGTATGGAATCATGTCCACTAAACTTAGTTAACAACATTACATCATGCTTTTGCATTCAAACTTCCTGCTGCTTTTTAATTTGTGCTGGCATAATCTCTTTGAAACTCTCAAAATCTTTTTCTCTCTGCTTGTTATTCTTGTCTCCATCTTACCTGATTCAGGACTTGAGGCTTTTTTGTATATGTAATCTTCTTACAAATGCTCAAAATATAATTAATGTTGCTTCTGATTTTCCTGAAATCTTTGGTATTCCTCCAGCACTAGCTCTGGTTCAATCGGATATAAGGAACATTGTCAAAAAATAGTAGTTATTGAATATTGTTAGTGGTGATAACTTGGTGTAGATTTCTGCCACACCCTTAGAGGACTATTTTGAACAAAATAATGCTGCATGCGTAAGGTTTTCCTTCTTGACAAAACATTTATTTTGATCATTAGCTTTCAGTTAAGTAGAATTGCTAAAGATCATTTAAGTATACATTAAGGCCCTGATCCTACTAAAATTAATTGTGTCCCAATGAAACAAATGGAATAAGTTACAACTAATTGTGACTAACATAAATCTTAACTGTTTTCAGTGGAAGTTAGTCAAGTTTTGACTTTAGCAATTTTGTAATTTAAATACTTATTTTAAAAATACCCTGAACCTCAAGATTATTTCATTTTTAGCATTCATTAAATTGTCTCTTACACCAATATTCTTTTTGTTGTAGATTTTTTTCCTCCCCCAAGGGGACTGAAATTAGTTTTTAATTATTATTATGTGTACATTGTGCAAAATTAATGTTAGAGACTAAACTACAAACTAGGCTTGCTTGTTTGCTTGGCATTAAGTCCCTTTGCACCCTAAGAGACTTAGTTCTGAACAAACACACACAGAACTTCAGTTTTTGATTTTTTTAGATGCTGATGTTAGTATTTTTGTTTAAATTTTGTTTATGTTAATTTGTCATGGGGAAGATTTTTGAGAGGGAGCGGTGCTTTCCCCTGGCCATATGTCTTCGCCGGACACACATATGAAGCTGCAGCATTTATGTCAAAGGCAAGGGCAACGTCAGTCACAACCCCCTTTGTTGAGATCCATATGTGTGGCAGAATTTCTACATAAATTATTGATTTTAGGATCAGTTACTCAGAAGCTAGGTTTGTTTGTTTGTTTGTTTGTTTTTAAATGAATCTAACTTCTGAATAAAAGCCCTGAGAATCAATTGAAAGAAAAAGAAAAGCCATCCCAGCTTTACTAAAACAAAACCACAGCAGCCTAATAGCCTGCTTTTAAACCAAGAAAAAGAAAATCCCTGTTGATTCAAAGACCTGTGATAACTTTAATGTTCAATTGGACAACTATTTTCAACCAGAGTCTTATGTACCTGAAAGTGGACCGTATCAGCCTGACAGTGAGGCCTACATAGCACCAGTGGAATCTGAAAGAAGAAATGAAGACTATGAGGATTATGGATCTGATATGCATTCACCTGCTTTCCCTGAACATATGCGCTGGAAACGTTCTTTATCAAGAAAAGCAAAAACAAAACCATAAATGTCTTATTTTCTCACTTCTCTCTCCCCACCCCCTCTCCTTTTGGGTATTTGTTTTTGTTGTTGCCATTCTCTCATATGTAGATATACTATTCCTCCTCCAGTGTTTCCAAGCAGAAGTACAATTTCGTCTTCTGAGGACATCTGGCTTATGTGGGAATAGCAATAGATGTTATTATACGTTTCATTCTCTCTCTTGAAATGCCTGTAATATACCTGTGCTTCAAGCGGCTGCGTTGAACTTTAACAAGTGCATCAAAATGATCAGAGGGCTGCAGTTCTTTTAATAAATTAAAAATAGCATCCATAAAAATCCAACCTTCTTCATAGCTACAACAAGTATTCTAGAGGCTGGATGTCTCAGCAAAGAAAGAGCTTGCCATATATTTGTCTTCCTCATCAAATTACTTGCTTGGTAATTCAGTCACTGTTACAAATCTGCAATGTCTAGTAAAACAAGAAACTCCTCTTTCCACACAGGCAATTTCTTCTACTTTTGCATATATCTTGCAGGGCATATACTGCTTTTATGCATCTCTTTAACAACCACAAACCTTTAAATAATATAGCTGGCATCATTGTATCAACTGGATACAATTTTAAAAGAAGTAATGGCTTAAATTTCCTTGTTTTAGAGACTTTAACATTTATGCCAAATTGCAGTCAATCCTGCAGAGATGGAATTGCATGTTTGTGTTGTATATTTAGTTATGATTCCCCTTCTCTCCGGAATATAATGTTTCATAGTTATCAGAAAAAAAGCAGTTGGAAATTATTTGCAAGACTATGGATATAGAATTGCTGCTTTTATATTTTAACTGCAAATTGTGAATTTCACTGCCTTATATTATTTATTTCTGAAACAAAAGAGGCATTTTTCAATAAAACTACTGAAAATCTGTACAGAGTCTGAGTATTATTGCTGGAAAGCATCTAGATTTCGGAGGCTTTATTGTCATGGAAAATTAATCACTTGAAACATGAAACAGTATTTCTCTCTCTCTGTATGTGTGAGCATACACATCTACACGCATATATACACCACATTGCAGTTTAGAATACTGAATGAGGAGCACTGTATTTTCAGCGACATTTTCCCTGCTCCGAAGGTATAGTTTATGACCCTATTGTACAGAAGCTTCCATAGCAAAATGAATAGCAGTTCCCAAACTTAGAAGTCCATGTACATTTTTCAAATGATCTGTGATCTCATCTGCTCAATATTTGGTAGAGTATCAATAGAAGAGAATATCTGTAGCTCAGGGTTGAACTGTGGAGTCCTTGGAGTTCTCTGAGCTTGGCTGTTTTTTTTGCAGACCTTTCATTACCCCACAAATTAATTACTTTATTTCCGTTGAACATGGCGGGGGATTGAAAACTCCCAACAAAAAAAAA